GTTGAGGAGTGGCAGTGTTAGGGTGAGCAGAAAAGATAGCAGGTGGTGGTCAGGGAGTAAGCACTAGTAATTGAGATTCCAGAGATGGACAGCTGTTGATGGTGGCAAGGTCTAGGAGTGGACTGCTGAGAGGGTGGGGTGGAGGAAGAGTTCAGCTGGAGATGAGGAGGAGATCAAGGCGTTGGCAGAAAGAGTGCTGGATGGGTCATCTGTATGGACACTAAGTCACCTAGAGAGGAAGGGGAGGGAGGGGCAGAGAGGAAGGCAGTGAGCCAGATACTAGACTCATCCAGAGTGAGGCTCAGGGACCAAGAGGTAAACATAGGTGACAGCAACAAGGAAGGCTGTTGTGCTTATCCACCATGTGAATCCTACATGCATACCTAGTACAGTGCCCCATAACCATAAATAAATATTTGGAAAATGTGGCATGAATGAATCTGTCTGATGGTATGCACCTATATGTGGGTCACCATGACTTTGAATAGAGCAAGGCACTAACCTGCTTCTGGGTGCTCCACAGCAGCTTCCGGGGTCCAGGGGCCTGCCTTCACATAGCCCCTCTTCTCCAGTGCGAAGACAAACCCTCCATCTCCAATCACAACCTCTCCAGCGTTCAAACGCTCTAGGATGCCCTGAAATGACAGGTGCAGGGAAGAAAGGAGTTACTTGAGTAACTCCTTTTTGAGACAATTTTCTATCTTTCGTACTTCTATCATATTTTTGAGAGGTATGATTGTTTTAGAATTCTCAGAAAGTACATATATATTTTTATAAATTCATGGTATTATCTATAAGGCAAACAGCCAGCATACTCATATAATGAAAATTTGTGTATACATGTGCCGAGGGTGACAGTCTTTCAGGATACATTAATGAGTTTTGAAGAATATGGTGGGAGGATGTTATGTTTGCAGAAATACCTGCAGAAGAATTAAATGAAAAGGTTTTGTTGTAAATCCTCAGGTGAAAACTTAAGCACACATTCTTAAAATGGTGAAGGCTAGTCTTTCTTCTATTTGGTTAAAACTAAAGAGATGATAAAAATTGATAAAGAAGTTGAGTATAATGCTCTTAAGTCATTTTGAAGACTGAAAAGTCAGATACTTGGTAAAGACAGAAGGAAGAAGATACAACCTCAAAGGTGGTCAGATCCCTTAAAGTCTTCTATCTTTGGTGTTAAAATTCAGTTTCTACAACAGCAGCTATGTTAAGTTGTCCAGGAGGTTATGAGTGTGTGTGTTTGTACTCTGTAAGTGTGAGATGACAAGAACAGGAAAAAGACAACTAAATAAAGTATTTATAAACTGATTTCCAGCCCAACCCCCATACTATTGGAATCATTTACAGTACTATGAAATAATTACCCTGCTGTTTATGTTCAAGAGATAATTTTGAAATATATATATATATACATATATACATATATATATATATATATATATAGAGAGAGAGAGAGAGAGAGAGAGAGAGAGAGAAAGAAAGAAAGAAAGAGAGTGTTTATCCTCATTTGAGAATTTTTTTCCCATTGAGTTTTAGAGAGTGTGAAAGGGAAAGAGAGAGACAGAAACATCGATGTGAGAAAGAAACATTGATTGGTTGCCTCCTGCATGCACCCAAATGAGGAGGGGGATGGGAGAGTTGGGGGTGGGGTGCGGAGTGGAACTTGCAACCCATGTACATGCCCTTGACAGGGAATGGAACCTGAGACCCTTTGGTACATGGGTTGACACTAAGTCACACTGGCCAGGGCTGAACTTAATATTTTTAAAGAGCTTTGTGAATTAGAAAGTAATTTTCTAGTGCAACCATGTCTTTTTAATTTAGAAGAATCATAGACTTTAACAATAAAAGACACCCTACCTTCTCTGATTTTATAAATGAAGCATTAATGTCCAGAATCTAAAAATTTATACAAAACCTGCCAGGTGGGTAGTATAGGGCCTCCTGATTATTTTATTCATAAGTGATATCTAGATTTGATTTTAAATCAGAGTGGGGATGGTGGGACAGTCCTGAAAAGACCATGTAAAGAAATAACTTGAAATGTCCTTACCTATTGTGTTCCATTTATTACCAATAACAGTTGGTAAAACAAATGCTGATGTAGTAAAAAGGGTTACATAGATCCGTGAAAGCCATTCATAGGATTTTGCATCCCAAGGCCTCGCCACCCTCTTAGAGCTTCCTCAGTTTACTCTTCATCCCCTCCACTGCCCCTTCCTGTGCCATTTGGTCAGCTAGCTCAGAGAGAAGACACATCTAACATTTTCCCTTTTTTGTTGTTGTTAATCCTCACCTGAGAATATTTTTCCATTGATTTTTAGATACAGTGGAAGGGAGAGAAGGAGGGAGGGGCAGAGAGAGAGAAAGAGAAACATTGATGTGAGAAAGATACATTGATTGGTTGCCTTCCTCCCGACTCTGACCAGGTTCAGTGATTGAACTTGACCCAGGTACATGCCTTAGATTGGGAAACGAACCTGCAACCCTCTGGTCCATATGCCGATGCTCCAACCACTGAGCCAAACCACTGAGCCAGGGCAACATTTTCACTTTAAAGCAGTAAAATAAAAGGATCATGCTGTATGTTCCCTAATATCCCTTCCAAATGGAAACATTTTCAAACATAAACGTCCATGAGATAATAAACAATTACAATAATACAGAATTGATCACATGTAATTCTGAAATCCCAGTATGTCATGATTTCAATGTGCCCACATGCCACATCTTAACACCACAACATTATGACCCAATTAACAAGGAACACACACACATACACACACACATAACTAGCCAGTGCAGTAATATAAAAAACATGAACAAGAATCAAATAAATGAGATATGACTTGCTACTAACTTTTGACTGAAATAACTTGTGATATTTATGTTCAGTCAGTAAGCAATTCTCACTGAACATGTGTGTGTTTTCAAACTGTAGTACCACAAATATTTAAATATACAGCATAGCTAAGAATCTGATATTTGCTGGTGACGTGGCTAGTGGTGATTTCATCACCATGTTGTTCATAAATTGGTTGAACAATTACATCTGGGGGAAAAAATCTCTTGGATTCTAGGGCATTTTTTAATTACCTGGACTTCAGACTTTTCTGTTCCTCAGCTAAACAGCTTAAGAAAAAAAAAAAAAGTGGAATGTGCTATGAAAAAAATTCTCAAGATACTGATTTTTGAAAAAGTATTACAAAACAGTATGTGTAATATCAGACTATTTGTGTCATAAAAAGTGCATATTTGCCTAGACAACAAACTAGCAGAATATACACTAAAATGTAGTAAGCAGATGGTGTTCATAAGTCATTTCCAAGCTATTTCCAATGAATATATGGTAGCTTTGTAACATATAATTTTAAACTCAAAAGTATAGACTTATTATTATCTATATTTTAACACTGACATAGGCATGGAAACAAGGTTACCAAAGAAACCTTTTTTTTTTCCTTCCCATTTTATATCTATCTTTTGCTTATGTAATCCTTTAAAATGTTTCATTTTCTGAGTTTGAGTTAGGGGAGTGGGTTAGAATCCATGGCTATGAGAAGGGGGCCAAACCAAAACACTTAAAAAAATCTCTGTAGGAGTCATCCTTTCCAGTCTACACCAACTATCCATTTAGTAGATTAATGGACTAGCAAAGATTTTCAACCAATTGAACTGGTGATAGCCTATAATTGTTTGCCACCCCAACCTCTTCCTCAGGCCATTGACATTCATCTATTAATGCTGCATGACATTGAAAAATTTTAACTGTTTGGTTTTATCTTTTTGTGGAGGTCTTTTTTATTTGGGAGGGATGTCTAGTAATGAGGATGGGAGGTGGACCTGCCCTCATGGTCCTTACAGCGCAGAAGGTAAACTTGGCCTGTCCCCACCATCCCCTGGGAGCTTTGACACCTAAGGATCAAACATATTCCCTCCTCCTGGCTCTTTCTCCTCCCACCTACCCAACCACAGTCCCAAGTTCAGTCCCCATCCATCCATCCATCCATCCATCCACCAAACTAGACGACTTCTGAAGGCTGCCAGTCTGGACCAGAACACTTGTCCCAATAAGGGAAGATGTGTGCTTGTTATTAATCAGGTGCTGGAGATGCTGTTTTTAAAATCTTGTTGACAGCTTCCACAATATCTTATGGCCTCTGTGCCCATTTGCGAGGCCCTCTTGGTGCATTTTGTTGCCATCGCTGAAACCAAACTGCAGGAGAAAACGTACCATTGCCCAACCAAGCTGCTGCGCGCAAGCGTATCCTGCGGGAGGGAGGTGCCTGGAGACCCGGCAGGCGGTTGCTGGAACCTTCAGAGCCGCGCGCATGCCTGCCTGTGGGGCTGCTCCAGGCACAGCAGTGCGGCATCGAGGGCAGACGCACAGGAGCCCTGGCGCCAGGAGGCATCCCCTTGTCCCAACGCCTGCGAGTGTAGGAGCTGCACCCCTGGGGAATGCTCTGATGTTGGCGTGCAGGACTCAGAAGGTGTTGGGAGTCTGGGCTCTGGGGGAGTCCTCGAGACAGGAGTCACATAGATCTAGGGAGTGCTCTGGACATGGCCGGAATGAGGGGCTCAGCGGTGCTTTGCCGTCTTGCAGAAGTTCTGGGAGCAACTTCTCACAGCAGGGCTACGAGGACGCCTCTGCACTCCCCATGCTGGGACATTCGAATTTAGTGGGTCGATACCCGGAGCCTTGCCTGGGATGCAGCCTTGCCTCGGGTCCCCAATACTCACCCTCTTGGGCATTTTGCCCCCAATAGGTGCCATCTTCGTGGTATCTGGACTGGACCTCGGCACGGACGTGGACCGAGGAGGCCGGCGTGGCGTGTTCCCCGGCGAAGCCCAGGGCTGCCCCCCAGCAGCAGCCAGGCACTTTATACTCGCTGCTCAGTGTGGGGTGGTTTCCCAGCCTCCCAGCGGTCCAACTGCCAGCCTTGGGTAGTGAACACGCCCACCAGCCTTTTAGCGAGGCCTGCCGCTCCTTGGGAACTGCCTTCCTGAGATGATCAGAGGAGATGATCCGATTGTTCTCCCAAATGGGTGAAAACAGAGACAAGTGAAATAAGAAAAAAATAATAATGAGGTCGACACTCAAGCAGATTTCAAACCTACCTGCCCAGGGTCCCTCCTGGTTTCTTGAGGGTCCCTGATTCTGATTTACTTACTTCTCTCTTTCCTGGGATCATGCACCATTATTTACATAAGCCACCAGTCAAGGCCCCTACGAAATTCCATTCATGCCCAAATATTTGTCCAAGGCCAGGGTACAAGATTACTGGGTGAGGAGGCCATGCCCTGGAAGTCTGCCTGAGTGTCATGTGTGTGATATACATGGAGCAGTTACATAAGGGAACACAAACATAACATTTACCAGAGGGACCCATACTAACCGTGAATTAGTGGGTATGTTTAAAATGACCTTCACTCCTTATATCCAGACATGCCTTGCAGTTTCTAAGATGGGTGTTTTTAATAAAAATGTCTTTGCAATATTTAACCAGGGCAAACTTTTAACATGTACACATGATAGTGAAAATGTACTTTAGAGACTTCAAAATTCATGGAAAATACTGTGTATCAAAACGTATAGACTGGTAAGAGTAGTTATCTGCTGGTGGAGGAATTAGGGCTTGCTTTAATTTTTTTATTCATTATGTTTTACTGTACTTTCCAAAATATCTTTGCAATGAGAACACACTGGTCTTAAACTAATTAAAACGTTACTTTCTAAAATGTACAACAGGACACTCAATAGCCTAGAGAACAACTAAAAAGCCTGAAACAAAGTTCAGACTCTTTTACCCAAAATAAAAGCACAGGAGGAAATTCTGTATATGGAACAATAGTCTCCATTTCAACAAATGCAAAGAAGAACATTACTGTAGCAAATGATGAATTAATACACATTTAACTTTTTAAATAATGTATACTGGATAGCCCTGGCAGGTGTTCCCAGTGGTTAGAGCATTGGCCCTCACACCAAAGGGTTGCAGGTTCGATCCCTGGCCCCAGGTCAGGGCCTTGTTCGGGAGGCAACCAACTGATATGTCTCTCTCCTTCTGCTCCCCCAACTCTCTCTAAAAATCAATGGGAAAAAAAATATCCTCCGGTGAGGATTAACAACAAAAATGTGTGTATTTGATATATAGTTGAGAAAGTAGAAAAGTCCTTTTGTTTCTGATAATTGTCAAGTTTAAAATGGGAAAAAAATGGAAGGATGGTGGCTGAATATATGTAATTCAAATAATTTAATATTTCACCTGCCTAGCAAGAATGAGGAATAAAGTAATGCCATCCTTCACAGTAACTAGATTTTCCACCATTAAAGCATTGAAGTATCCAAGTATGTAATAGTTTAGTTAGTTAATGCATTAACTACATAAAATAGTAACCTGGTGAGTATTGGTGAGATGAACAGTGAGCCCAGCTGTAGCTGCAGGGAGCAGCTGCAGTGATGGGTATCAGGTGCTAGGGGGCCAGTGTCAGGGCCCTGACAATAAAAACTAAAAGCAGGCATACTCAGTTTCGAAGTTCATCCAAACTCACCAAAACTTAGAGGAGATTTTAAACTAACAGCATTTAATTTAAAGATAAATTCTGTCACCCTAGCCAGTTTGGCTCAGTAGTTAGAGCATCAGCCTGCAGACCAAAGGGTCACAGGTTTGATTCATGGTCAAGGGCACATATCTGGGTTGCAGGTTTGATTGCTGGGCTCTGGTCGGGGTCGTGCAGGAGGCAACTGATTAATATCTCTCTCACATCAATTTTTTTTTTTCTCTTTCTCTCTCCCTCCCTTCCACTCTCTCTAAAAATCAATGGAAAATATCCTTGAATGAGGATTTAAGAAATGATAATAAAACAAATAAATGTGAATTTTAAATGGCTATTGTAGACACATGGCAAATTTTAATGTCTTTCCCTAGCTGCTGTTCCCAGTACAATTCCTCCTCAAAGGTAACCACAATTAACCGTGAACTATTCTTCCAGAGGAACACTATGCATATCTAAGAGTGTACACACATAGTTAAGAATTTGTATTTAAATGTAGGGAATTTTAGTTATTTAAACACTCACCCACCTCTACCTTTTCCAAAATGATTTTATAGGCAGCTGTTGAAATATTTTTGTGTTTTCTCAGCCTCTCAGTTTATCCTACTTCCCCATATCCACCCTAGGGAGGGCCATTTAAAAAAATCTATGTACTATTTCCATAATAATAATAATACCCACAGTTCACTGAGTTCATAGTTCACTTACTATGTGCCAGGCACTACCTTAAGCCTTTTTTACATGTACAGTGTTATGTACTCCTAAGAACTCTGTGAGGTACTTAGGACTTAGTACGCTTTGTACTTAGGACTTTGAACTCAGAGAGTTAGAAGAGTTATCAGCATGAGCTCTACGTTCCTTTACCCCATTCCCAAAGGACCAAGTCCGCTTGGATATCACCTGGGGAGTGCATTCTGTCATAACTGTTCTTGGGAGGCTGCCCATGTTCTTTGTTCTCTTCTAGAGCAATGAGATGAGGAAGGTCATAACACCAATGTCTTTGGCCTCCTACAAAGATGTTTGGGGTGGGAGATAAATCCTAAATGGAAAGAGGAGGGCTAGAGGTAGAAATAAAGCCCCTCAGTTTTATAACCTCTAAAGTGAGATGTTTTGATAGTGCTTTGCTTTACTTATAACCCCATTTATTCATTCAACAAATGTTTAAGTACCATTCATACAAGGTTTCAGACTCCATGTATGGCCGGAGGTAAAGGATAGCACCTTCTTTTTTCCAAGGGGGAGATATACACCATCTCATATGAGTTAAAACGTTCTTCTTTTCAATACACAGATGGGAAAAATATCAGGACTTTTCATTTTCCATTCAGTTGGAATCATCAGTGGCTTTTCATACATCTATTACAATTAAAAATGTTTCATTTAGCCTTTAAACCTCTGAAGAAGGTTTATGTTTTAGTACCATGTAAAAAAGTGTTTGCAAACTGTTGACATGGAAATATGGCCAACCTTTGTGTTTTCTGTGGCAAGGCTAGTGTTTTTTATTTTTATTAATTTTTTATTTTTTATGTTTTTATTGATTTTTTAGAGAGAGGGGAAGGGAGAGAGAGATAGAAACACTGATGTGAGAGAGAAACATCGATCGGCTGCTTCCTGCATGCCCCCTACTGGGGATTGAGCCTGAAACCAGGGGCATGTGCCCTGACTGGGAATCGAACCTGGACCTCGCAGTCCATGGGACAATGCTCAATCCACTGAGCCACAATGACTGGGCAAGGCCAGTGTTTTTTTAAAAATTGCATGTGAATTCATTTATGTGGAGCCTTCTCTTTGCCAGTCTGACCACACCCAGTTGTCCTACACTCTCCTGGTTCACATACTTACCTTAACTTAAAGGCATTTGATTTTTCAACTTCTGTTCATGTATTTGTGAGTTATCAAATACATGTGAGATGTCCTTTGGTCTGAGTTCTACCAAATAGTGCACAAATTGAATGTTTTCTTTTCCTTATATTTTCCTCTTGCCCTAACCCTTGTTGCCACAGCCCAGGGCCATAATAAAGGGATGGTAAGGATGGGCTTTTTATCTAAAACCTCTTCCCTGGGTGCACAGCCTTTCCACACTTTATCTTTTCTGATTGTACTCTATTCCCTCTGTCCATTGCAATGGCCACACTCAATGTTTATCCCAACATAGCAGTCATATCAAATGCCTTAACAATTATTCCCTTTTTTTAGGGCTGTGGTTTCTTTATATGTAAAATTCAAGTTGAAGCTAGGTGACTTTCCAGATTTTTTTTTTGTAAGTGGCTTCACACGAGGTTGGCTTGGCATAGACTAGATCCTTTTCCCAGGGTGCTTTCTTTGCCTTCCCCTTGCAGCCAGCAAGCACTTCCTTAGGCTGGCTCAGAGGGTGCCTCCGGTGGTGCCTCCAGCTTCTGCCCATCCCTAGTTCCTGGAGAGAGTTTTGTTTTGTTTTGTTGTTTGCTGGACTGTTCAGACCTTACTTCCACTGCAGGTAACAGCGCTTCTCTCAGAGCTGGCAGAGCACCAGCTTGTATAGTCTCCTGGGTTCCACAGGGGAGTCCTCAGCCGTTTTCCCATGAGTCCTGAACACTCCCAGTTCCTTACACTATCCTTCCAGCATAGTGGCTGCATCCCACGTTCTCTTTCGAGCTCGGAAAACTTCTCTCTTCTCTTTCTTCTTTCCTTTCGTGGTTTCTAACAGCATAGTTAGCCTGACTTCTGGGGTCCTGTGTCCTTTTGCTGCTTTTCTTAAACACACACACACACACACACACACACACACAATATATATATATATACATATATATATTCAAGTTAATATATGCATATAATAAGTATCCTAATTCAAGTTAATATATGCACATATAATAAGAATCTTAACAATATCTTATTATATATGCATATAATAAGAATCCTAGAGTAAAAAAGGAGATACATAAAAAATAAGGCTCTTTCTAACTTCCACTTCTGTAGTTTTAACTCTTTTGATATTTATAAACAACTCAGCTTAAAGAATTTCTGAAAGAAGTTGGCTCTTTCAAAAACCAGCTTTCAGTAATACCACTGCATCTACCATAAGAGTTAAAATGAAAAACATGAAATGTTGGGGAGGACGGGGAGCAACTGAAACTCTTATCACTGCTGGTAGGAGTGTAACTTGGTATAACTGTTTAGAAAAAAAATGTTTGGCCATATCTTTTAAAGTTGCATATATCTGTATCAAGCAATTCCACTCCTGGGTGGAAACTCGTATAAATGTTCCTCAGAAGATATGTACAGGAAGATTTAAAGCAGCCCATTGATAGATAGCCCAAACTGAAAGCTATCCAAATACCCATCAACAATAGGATGTATAAATGAATTATGCCATATTTACACAGTGGAATGCTATATGAATGATTTGCTTATAACTACATGCTACAATATGGATGACTCTTACAGACAGTATTGAATAAAAGAAGCCAGACACAAAAGGCAGTATATAAGATTACATTTAATATAATGTACCAAAAAAAAACAAAAAACAGGGAAAACTAAGCTATGCTCTTAGAAGTCA